TATTCCAACAGGCGGTGAGTTTTCTCGTCGACTGTTGTGTGGATACTGCTTTACAGGTCCCAATTTTTCTTCTAACAGGAGGCGAATTTTCTTGCTGAGTAATGTCGAGACGTTAGCTGACCGCTCCGAACCTTTCTTCCAACAGAAGGTCAGTTTTCTGGTCGAGTGATGTGCAGACACAGCTAGACCTGTCCCAATTTTCCTTCCAACAGGCGGTGAGCTTTCTTGCTGAATAATTTGCGGACACTGCTTGAGCGGCCCGAACTTTTCTTCCAACAGCGGGTGAGTTTTCTCGTAGAGTGGTGTTCGGACGCTGCTTGACTGGTCCCAAATTTTCTTCCAACAGTCGGTGAGTTTTCTCATCGAGTGATGTGTGGGACGCTGCTTGACCGCTCCGAACGTTTCTTCCAACAGCTCGTACTTATCCAACCCACACTCACTCTCTATCCCAGACTTTAACTGCATATAATATGCGCAGTTTGGTCCGTGACGTTAACCGGTTTCAGGGGACGTGCAGCATTTGGTGTGGGGTGTGGGTTTGCGTTGGAGTCGTAATTTGACTTGGCGAAAGGCTGGGCCATTGTAACTAATGCGCGGAACGCACGGAATTAACCATAAAGACCGCAGAAAGTGCCTTGAAGGAACGTACTTACCTCCAACTTGTGTATTAATATTGTCAAGGTACTATCGTGTTGAAAACGCGGTGAATTCCTCAGATAAGGTGGCGGAAATATGGATGTATGGACGAGGCGCAAGAAAGGACGATGAAATAGAAGGCAAATGGGAGCAGGAAATGAGGAAAGACATACCGTATTGTGCAGCGAGCGCGATTGGGGGATATCAGACCAGGCGAGGGGAGAAGAAACAATGGGAGGATTGAGAGAGCAGTCGGCCGGGCTGCCTGAGGCGTAATACAAGGAGAGAGTGCGGTGGGGGGTCCCGCAGGCAAACCGCACGGTACAGTAACCTGAATCCGATCCGCAGCTTGGCCGATCTGTACATTGCGGGGAGCCAAAGCAAATAAGATGCCCCGAATCTCACGCCGCGGGCATCCTTGGCTCGCGTTGATGCACAACAGGAAGGGGTGACATCGCGTCCTGTGTAAATACTTTCTCGGTCCCACGGCCACAGCCGAGATACACAAGGTGGAGACGGCGAATGAGCTCAATAAGAGCAACCGACGGAAAGTACTAGGACCCCCGTCAAATCCATAGCCGTGTACCGCCCGCGGGCTCGTACACCCCGCACGAGGCCCAAGGTGCGGCGCGTCGACCAAGCGAAAAGGAAGATGGTGGGGACATTGTGGTAAAGTAAGCCCGGCGACCGCAACGCAAGCGGAATCAAGACGTTTCTCTGGGCAGGTAGGTCCGAATGAGGGTCAATCGACAGCCGGGGTTCGCGTGCGCCCTGCATCCCTGTACGACTTAGGACAGGGCCCAAACTCCAAACGTACATTCTCTGCTGGTGTCTGCTGGTACCCGCGGCCAAGATACGCAGGTAGGTGAAAGGGGGACGCCCGAAGATGGACAGCGGCCGAGGGCGGGTCTACGGCCAGCAGACCAAGCGCCGTGGATAGGCAGGTACGAGGCCTGAAGGTCAAGGTAAACACTGGTCTTGAGATGCGGCGGCGAAAACGCCATGTCCGGAAAAGGAAAACGACCCAAGCGCCGCGCCCGCAAAAACGAAAATGAAAACGAAGCCAAAGAAAAATGGACACTCACCTCGCCAATATCGCCAACTCACGCGCCGTATTGCCCTCCCAGGGCTCCAGCGCATGCGCCGCGCTCTTCCCATCATCCCGCGTTTACTACCCTTGTGAAATTCCCCGTTGGCGGAGGCAACATTGTGCTGCGATAATGCGCAATGTCGCCGAGGCAAACAAGCGTCTTCGCTGTGCGCTTGGGATGCGTCCGCCACTTGCACGAACGAAGCGGTGGTGGCGCAGGAAGATTCGGGCGGCGAATCCAAAGTGGCTCACGCGGTCTTCAATTGTGATCTTACTGGCGTCGCGAGGGTTGGGTTAGCTAGCACCACCACCAGCAGTAGTAGGATTGGAGTTAATGCCGGGTGTACCGCGGACGCCGGAATGGAGGGTGTCGGGGAGCGGACGCCACACGCGCCAGAAGCGTTCCTCGCATCGCGCACTTCCCGTGTGGCCCAGCAAGTGCAGGCAACGGCGCCGCAGACTGCATTCGTTTGACGAGTAAGTAGGGTCAGGGAAGCAACGCACGTCTTGCGCTAAAAGCCCTCGCGGTAATTCGCCAAGATGTGGCACACAAGGCACACAAGGTGCCTTGAGACCCACGTGGATGCTCCGCGCTCCCTAAAACCCAATTTGCACGAAGAATCCCAGTTCTTCGTCCAGAAGACTCGACGTACCGGGCTACGACGCAGCAGCGGGTTGTCGACCATCCGCGATCCGCTCGTTTATACACTCTCCGCCGCCGTCTCCGACGCAAGGTCCATGGATTTGAAGGGAGGCAACTCGAAGAGAGGCACTTGAAGTTGGTCGGCTGAAGAAGAGTGATGATGCCGTCATGAGTTGCCGTATTTGACGGAGATCGGCGGGCCGCGTCTTGCCGAGAGCCATTTGCTCCTGACCACCACCACAACGATTGAATATCGAACGTTGAGTCGAGTGCGGCGAGCGCTGTGCCATTTATTTCATCAGTTATGTTTCCTTTCTCACCGCCAGAAATCGGGCTGACAGTTGAATGCGTTCAACAGAAACTTGAAATCGAGATTCACCGTCCACAGAGAGCGAAATGATTCCGTTTTACTTTTCACTTCAAGATTCCAGGGTCCCCGGAACCACCCTGTTTCCGGAGGAGAAAGCCCATTGTCCACTGTCACAAGATGTGACATCTGGCCTCACCATGACGCCCACAAGCGAAACGACCTCCTCGATCCCTGCAGCGGCGCTCAAAATCCCCTACGAGCTAACCGCTAGGATATTCGTGCTGTGTCTTCCTCGGGATCGAAGGGTTCGTCCGAGCCCAAAGTCAGCTCCCCTTCTCCTTGCTCAGATCTGCGGCAATTGGCGAGCTGTAGCCATCTCCATTCCTGAGCTCTGGAACTCAATTCACCTGGATTTCCTTCGCCGTGTGCGATACGATGGTATTTCCGCACTCTTTGGTGTTGATACCTATCCTGTGCCAGCGCCCATCGTCAAACTCTCGGACTCTTGGTTCAGCCGTGCGGCAGGGCTGCCTTTATCCATTACAATACGCTGCGCCGATTTCGGAATGTCATTGCCTGAGGGCCTCATTGCCTTGATCATGGCTAAGTTCACCCAATGGGGACGACTTGAGCTTCGAATCTCGCAGAGAGACCTCGCAGCGTTCCACCGTCCCGGACCATTCCCTATGCTTCAAACTCTCGCCATAGACGTCACCGATGTGCGGGGTCTGGCTTGGAACCAGAGTATGTTTTCCTGTGCCCCGAATTTGCAGGCATTGCGGCTTGGGGCACCACTCTGGCGTACGTTCCGCCTTCCAATGGCGCCGGGACCCCCGGCCTCCGTGACGGCCCTCGATTTCTGCCTAGAGGGCATGGGGGTTACTCCAGAATTTTTCCGACCGCTAGGTCACTTCCCCAATCTTCGTCACCTCAATATTAGTAGCCGCCGCATCGAGTACAAGGACCTCTCCTTCATCGTGGCCATTCCCCCGGTTGGAAACCCTGTTTATGAAGCACTCTCCTATTCTTTTGAACCACCTGCAGATTCCGACACTCCGTCATTTAGGCATCTTCCTTTTTAGCGACATCGATGCCACAACCATTACATCCTTCTTGACGCGATCTGCATGCATGCTCACCCACCTTACCTTGCGAACTCCCGGCGGGGACCGATGGTGCGACTACTTCCATCTCACCGGAAAGCCTTGCAATTCCAGTGCATTGCTTAAATGTCTCGAGGCCGTGCCGTCGGTGGTCGATATCTCCCTCGTAGGGGACGAGGCACTCTATCCCCTTTTTCACCGTGGCGACATTCTCCCTCGACTTCACACCCTCCGATTGACGAGCTGGCCTTCGACCACCGTTCATGCGGCATTTCTCGCCGTCCTGAGAGTGCGTCCCGCCCTCCACAGCGCCGACCTTCACCTTCTCCATCGTGTTGGTGAGGTCACACCACCTCTGAACAACGATGTTCTTGGACCTCTCCATATACGCTGCGGGTAAAATACACATCAACCTGACTACCCAGAGTGTGGGGAGAAGCTATATGGAGTTCAAAGCAAATACCGAGGAGTGCGAAGAAAATATCGAGGGTGCGTCGTTGCTCGAATGGCCTGCACCCTACAAACTGACACCGCCGAGCAGGTTACGATCTTTCGCTCCTGATTTCCCCTACCTCGGGAATTTGCCCCATTCAAATATCAGTGTTAACTACTGAGGTGCGGTCTGTGCTTGCCTGTATCAAGTTACAAACTTAATGGATGTTACTTAGGGTTCACTGTGTCATACGGTGCCCCCATAATTGGACATTAACTCTTTTTTTCATTGACTGTCGTGAACCGGGAATATATCTAGATTGTCTTCAACGCTTTTTTTTTCACCTGAATCCAGAGGGTGTCAGTGTGGCGATGCACCATGCACAACGTCCACGTCCTTTCTCTGCATTCGGCCCTCGGTAAGTTGACTACATTTCATTTGACTCTGTCGCGCCAACGGAAAATGATTCTTCGATTGTGTAAGCAGCGCTGCATCGCGCACGGCACCCGTGCCCTTTTCCCTGGAATCGCTTGGTAAGTACTTTCTCTATCTTCTAATTTTATTTGCCCACTGCGGACATAGGGAATCGAATCCCGACGCTGCTTCAATCTTCAGAGAATCCATCCGCAAGATGTAGCGGTGTCGTGCATGGTGTTTCTACCCTACTCCGTTCCTGATTCGCAATACCTAGCACCACATCTCGGTCGCGCTAACGAAAAAAAAATTGGTTGCGCCCGTTGTCAACTTGCTACAGGCGCTGCGCGAAAAAGTGCTGAACCTGGTTATGCGGACGCGGGGAGTCGAACCCCAAGATTGCTCAAGTTTGGGGGCCATTGTATGAGATGCAGCGGTGCACCACTGCACAACATCCGCTTTCTGGATATCCAATGAGCTCTGTAGTAAGTTCGTGACCTTTTCCTAGCCCATACCCGCTGATTTTATTTCGGTCGCGCCAACGAAAAAGGCATTCTCAAAATGTTTAGGCGGACGCGGGGAATCGAACCCCTCAACTGCATAATCAATTTGTGCACTTCCGAGTCAAAGCAAACATATAGGTCGCAGCCGTGCGCCATGCACGATGTCCGCGCTCCCTTGCTACAGTCGGGTCTTGCTGTCAGCCGTCCAACCGTGTTTCGTTGTTGTAGTGAACGGCAATTCAGGGAACAGGGCCGTTGTTGTGCACCTCACTAAGCTCCTTGGTTCACCTCCATCCCAGATTTAATTTTGGTCGCCCAACGGGTTAAAGTCCACCGCGCAGCCTGAGAGTAAAGAATCATAGCTAATCTTTCAAAGCGCCGAACACCACCTTTACCGCGTACGTTGTGATTATGCTATTGTCTATGCAACAAACACCTCTAGGCGTCCACTGCACACCTTTGGGATTTCCGATCGCGATCTTCATCCCTCGCATACTATTCTTCCAAAGAAAAACTGGCCTTATTCCTATGCTTACCCGTCGAACATCTCACGCTCGAATATTGACTCGTTACCAGTCTGAAATACGGCAAAAGGAAGCAGTGAGGGCGGGGTGAGTGAGAAAAGGGCATCATAAGGTGGGTGGGGGTAACATCTGGGGGGGAGGAGGGCGGCGTGTTCCAAGTGAGGTGCCGGGAAGGGACAGAAGGGTCCCATAAGAGAGAGGGAGAGAGAGAGAATATAAAAAGGGTATGATGGGGAACACACGTATCGTGTACCTTCCTGGGCACTTTCCAGATCAGACACGCAACGCGTATGGGGATTGGCCATGATCTATCTACCACCCGCGGTCGGCGCGATTTTTGGGATCTCGCAGAGGCTCTCTTGGCAAACTGGAAAGCTGAAAATATGGCTCCCATCCCCGCATTTTACGTTCTTGCGATACTCAGCTACGACTGATTTCCGCATTCTTGTACTTAGGGGCTGCTTCAACAAGAACTTTGCAGTCTATCAAGTATACTTCTATACAAATTGCGCGACGAATGTGTTGATGAAGCTGTCTATTTTGGATCTCCCTAGATCGATTTTGTCCTGGCGCACACGCCGCTTGACAAAACTGGCTGGGGTAACTTGATTTTCAGGTCGATTCAGAAACTGGACGTCGAACAGGTTGCTCAAATGGCCATCTTGCGGGCGATTTTATTCAGGTCGCGGCGCGCCCGTCGAATCAAGGTGAGATCCGAAGGGTGGAGTGGCGACGAGGGAATCCGCATTTATGTTGTGGAGGGCCCCAATGGGGCAGGCAAGTTGAAGGACCGCGGCTATGCTCGGATCACGGCGCGCTCCGGCTCTTGCTTCATGCCTCCACCAGGAAATTCGCGGTCGAACTACAAACACCCTCAAATGCGCGCTAACCCGACACACTAGTGAAAGTAACCCGAAATACAAGAGACTTGATTCCGGTTCCTTCACCAATGCTCTGGTCTAAATTCTTCCGCGATTGCCCAAAATCAAAGGATTTGGCGGCCACTTGGAGCCTATCGCGCGGATTGCTTACCCTTTGTCTGGATGCCTACAGGACTCGCAGCGAGACCCGATCTGGCTCAGTCAAGAGAGATTCTACTTCACGGTGCTGCTGCTCCGTTCGATTCGGGCCGGATTTGTTGGAGACGTAGGTAGTGAATTTTTCCTTTGTCGTTCAATTTATTTCTTAGTGGTGGTCCCGTTATTTAGGTGCTGCTGATCCCCTGTATTGAAGTGAGTTCAATATAGGTTGGAACCGCTCCACCTATCAATCCGACTCGCGGCTGCAACGCTCACGGATCATATCTACGTTGGCAATCTCACTCAACCCGTGTTCACTCGCCGCAAACCTCCAAAGTGTTTCTCATGGCTCAACGTTATCAATTCAATGAACCACCGAAACATTACTTTTCGCACACGACGTGGCCGCTTTTCCATTACTCAAGTGCCATGGAGCTCGGTTGGTGCTAGCCGCAGGACTGCGTTCATCTGAGCGGGTCCGATGGGGACGGTGGGACCCGAAATGACTCCTTCGGCATAGTAGAAGCTCAGCGCTCAACCCTTGGCTGCATAAGCCCACACCTACACTGGCGAAGTATCCTGAAGTGCATACACATTCGTCTCGCACTCTTCGAAACCTATCATCTTCTACGACGTTGCATCTGGCCCGCCAGTAACGGCCTATGCCCCCCAATCCATGGAGAATACTGTGCGTCTGATTCGGTCCGAATCCTCCCTACTAGTAGCTCACGCTCCCCACCACTAGATACGCCCTGAATTTCAAAAGGCGTGCATTGCAAACCCTCGTGGGTCGAGTACCGCCAGGTCGCCTGCGTGCGCCAAAAAGCTCGGCTGCCTCCCCGTTCGCTGGCATCGCAACGGGACTCCGTTCTACACCCTTCCGATCATCCAAGACCCCTTGATGGGCAAAATTGTAGGCGGCAGCTTCGACATCGCGCAGTATCTCGACGCGGCATACCCCGATGGCCCGCGCCTACCCCCCCGTCCACCGCGGCGCTCCACAGAAGTCCACAGGACGTTCACCGCACACGTGGACAAAATCTTCACTGACGGCATCGTCATACTTTGCAGTCACGGCCTGCCCTTCAACCCCCAAGCCTAGGATTCCCCAGAAAGACCATATGAGAGGTTCATTCTGCCCGAACTGTCATTTTTTTCAAATGGTTGATACACGGTCCCGCATCTAGTTCGATGACGGAAATATTGTGGTCCAAGCCGAGGTGGAAGGAGCTTCCGTCTTTCTTAAATTATTTGGTTTGCTGTCGTGGGAGGACTTATTGGCCAGGCTTGAAGTGCAAAAAGGTCGTCTCAGTTTTATTGCCTTGCTTTGCCCGCTCACCAGAAATAAGTAGACGCTTCGAACAGTTGACACAGTCGAAATACCTCGTCGTATTTTCCTAGGCTCCTTGCCTACTCGACATTCTTCATATACATAAAACACCTTATTCAAATTTCCAAATCACATCCACCTGTCGAGCAGTTATTACCACCATTTCCTGACCGTCACTCGCTCAATTATCTGCGCAGGTACGGTAGCAATAGTTCGAATACAACTTTAGCGCACAACAGCACGGTCGCCCTACGAATCATGTCTTGTTTGTGTCAACTCTGTGCAGGAGATCCAGCTGGGCTAGGATCTCCTCGACGTGAGCAAATAATCTGGTCTTGAACGGCACTTTTGTTAGGTAGGTTTCAAAAGTTGCCTGTACGATTTGGCGAGCTTGAGCATCGTCCAGCCACGGGTAGGCGTTTCGTGAAGCTCACTCCGATTATATGTGTCGGGGCGTAGATCTGCCATAGGGCCATATCCGGGACACTCTTCAGCAGCAATTCCTGCTCACGATGCACGATGTCAACCTCGAAGAGCTCTTTCAATGCGCTCGCAAACCGAAGCTGATGAACGGGGTCAATGGCTGAGGTGGGGATGAGGCCTCCAACCGACATCAGAGTGCGCTGTCCCTTGAATGGTAAGTTGCTGGAGCAGCACTGCTGAACGAACTCAGTCAGTGTATTGAGCTCTCCCTCGGTATATCTGCGCCGTAGACGCGTTCGCAGGCGGGTGTGGTGTTGCTCCTGTGTTTCTTCTGACATGGGCTCTTCCAGCAATAGCGAGGATGGTTCCGTGGGTAAGATGCGATAGTTCCACCGTGAAATAATTTCCTCTGTAGTCAGGTTCTCAATCTCCTGCTCTAGGCACCGCCAGATAATCCTCTTCACCATTGCAATCACCGATGAGGTGATCAAGCTAAGTTCGGCTTGCTCCGAGACAGCGTCAAGGATCTCTTCCCAGGTCGTCAAGTCTATCCAATCTGGTGGACCCATTTCCTCCGAGAGCATCGGATATTCCCAACAGAGCATCCAGACGGTGGTTAAGGATGCGTTCAGGGTTTTGTATGCGTCGTGAGGCTGCAAATCATCAAATTGCCAGGAAATAACGGCGGGCCCCAGGCGGATCATGTCCGGTATGCGCTTCCACGCACGGGGTGGAATCCAAGAAAACGCTTGCCGCACCGCGTTCTCAGATTTTCGGCTATTCAAATATTCAACCACCGCCCACGGTAGGGCACCGTCCAAGTCCTGCGGGTCCCAATATGAGACTATCTTGCAGAATACATCGTCCAACCAAATTAGGTCTTCGGCCTCCTTGAACTTCTCGAGGTTGTGGTACACAATCCTATCCAAATGGATTTCTACCCTCTGGAGCGAGGCCCCAGAAAGGGTGCCCACAGGAGGCGCTATGAGTGACTGAGTTTCCTGGAACCGATATGGGATTATCTTTGCTTCGTATCCGTGGGCTTCACCCAGGTAGTCTAGCAATATCCGTAGGCGCAAGCCTTCGACTTCGTTTGCCAAATCTTTCACAGCTGGCTGGAGAGTCTTGACCGTGAAAATTGCGGATGACGCCCATGATTCACCGCTATCGAACGGGAAAGCATACGTCGAGTCGAGCATCTTCAGGCAGGATCGAATCTTCTTGATCACCTGAGCACTTGGTGGTCGTTTCGCAGTCATGTTGTCATTCAATGTCATTAAATGCCGCAGCGTTTCGTCGATTAAGCCTTTGGCCGCACAGAGATTGGCCCAGGTCTGGCTGGCCCGGGCGGAGCTGTAGTATGGCAAGACCTCCGGGCTAAGTTGCGCGATGTAGAGCACGGGAACTCGGACACCGTCCCCGGGTGTCGAGAGACTTCCCAGTGCCCATATCGCCTTGTAGCAGGAGATTTGACGGCGTTTCGCCGCCTCGAGGCCAAGAATACCGCTGAAGCAGCTGTGCTGAAAATCCTGAACCCGACGGAGGAGGTCATTGCCTATCAGACACCTGATGTGCCCGTCATACAGCCGCCGCCCCAACAGTAAATCTGGAATGGCATCGAGCAGGGGTTCCAACTCGACATCATCTGTTAGGGACTTTA